CTGCCATATGCCTACTTCATGTTGCTGACAGTTTTGTTTCAGGAGATCCTGGCCATGGCCACTCATCCCCTCCTGGTTTGGTAGTGGAGGAGAAAAAGGACAGATCTACTCAGAGGGGAGCTGTTGCTTTGGCTTGGTTTTGTTCACTTGTTTCAAGTACAAGGTCCTTAACTCAAAGAGTTCAGTTTAATAATTCTCAGCTTTCTGGTGTAGCCTGGGCACCTGTGCAGAGCTGTGGGGTCACTCATGCATTCGTGGGTCTCTTATTTTGGTTCTTCTCCTCCCGAGCTCTGAGCCCACCCCTATGACCGTGCCCAGCGTCTTGGTGTCTCTGGTCTCGGCTGCACAGCTCTCCTGGTCTTTCCCTTAGGGCTGTGTCTGCTAGCCTTGCTGCCCAGCTCACCCTAGCTCTTCCATGTACCCCTGCTCGTATGTCACACCAGTTTTCCCATTCCTCTTCCGAGCTGCTTGTGTCCAGCCAGAGTCCTGGTTTTCCTTTCTTGGTGTGATGTTCCAAGAGATGCACCGGGGTGTCACCCTGGCTCCTGCTGCAGAAGAGAAGAGCTCCTGTTCCTCTCCCTGGCTCCTGCATCCATCCCAGGCTTTGCAGCAGCACTGGGTGCTCATCACATCCTTCATGTGAGCCCGCTTGATGAGTTTAAATGACATAAAATTGTGCCAGCAAAATAGTTTTGTTCAAGGAAAATGACTGAAATGGGCTTGTGGAAGAAGGGCCAGGCACATGCATGACGGCAGGGAGGAGAACAGTGCAGCAAGGACCAGGGAAGCAGCAGCTCAGACCCCTCCATCGACTGCATCCCTTTTGGGGTCTGTTCCCTTAGGGGTCTGTTCCCTTAGGGACCATCTTGGTGGTGATGCTGCTGCGAGGCGCCTGGAGCTGCTCCTCCCTGGTTTCAGCACAGTTCTGTGCACATTCAGAGCAAACGTGTAACTGGAGCTTCAGAAGGTACAATTTGAAATTGCCACTGTCCCTCTGAGCCCGCGTGTTTTGCAGTTCCTGTATCTACTGTCTTCCAAAAACTTTATTTTGGACAGGCTGTTTGTATGGCACTGAAAAGAACAGCCCTGGAAAAAGGTTGCATTCCTAAGACATTTCAAGTCTGTGCTAAAAAAAACACGGAACAAAATTCCTCAAATAAACACTTTTATATAGACAAGGTATGTATTTTTTCCTAGCAATTGGTCTTGGAAAGAGCTCAGTGCACAATTTTTCTTTTACTGAGCTTTGGGCAGATGATAGGTAGTATGTAAGGCCAGGCAGTTAGTTACAAGTTGTATGGAGGCAAAATCTTTGTCATGAGGAGTTTTAATAGTAGATAATGCTGTTATCCGCAACTATAACAACTGAAAGAGCTGACAATCAATGTTTTAATTCTTTTATTTTTAAATTTAAATTATTTTTTCAATTCAACTAAAAGATGGCCAAACATTTTTGTTTGGATCCTAATAGGTTATGTAAAGTAGGATTTTAAAACTTTTATATGCAGTCCTTTGGGAGAAAAACCAGTTGGACACTTGAGTATATCACGTACCTTTTCATGGCAATGCACTGGTTTTAATTGGGGGGGGAATCAGATTTGTATATTTCAGATAGGAGAAAGCGCAAATGAATTAATAAGTTGGGACTGAGTACACGATATCCTGATACAATCTACATATATATTAAGTGTCAGAAAAAGGAGTAACAATTTCTTAATAGAAAAGATAATCAGGAATTTTTTTAAAGAAAAAGTATTCAGCCGTAAACTTTTATGGGGTGACTTCTCTCCCCATTAGTACCTCTGAAATAGCTTACCTGCAACTATAGCCTACTGTTGGACAAGGTGAAAAGGACTCATAATAACTCTCCCCTTGCTTTTAATAACCTTAAACATGAATGCAGAAGCAGTAACCTGTGATTGGCAGGAGGGAGGAAGGGACGTGGCCGTGCCTGGCCCTCTGAGGAGGTGGCGTGTCTGGAGGTCTGAAAGCACTCCAGTGCCGAGATGATCAGGGGGCTGTTATCCACTCCGCAGTCACTTGTTGCCTGGGAGACAAATGTAATCCAGGGATATTTTTTTTTCTCTTCCTTGCTAGTTTTTGATTGGAGCCACTATTGACTTTTGGCTTGGAGGAGGTAGTGAAGCAGCACGCCAAGTGTCATAAGATGGAAATTAATCACTAACCGATGGGTCTGAGTTCCAATGATTTCCTTTTCCATGATTGCTCTGTATATGGCAAGACTAATGACACATCTAAACAGATAGTTAACGAAGCTCTTCACACCTCTGACAGTCAAGGAGGATTCTTAACCCAATGACACTTCAGTTTTCTTTTTATTTCTGCTCTCTTGTACAATTGTGGAACAACAAAAGTAACTATCTTAAAAAAGGAACTTTGCATGGTTGGAGAGATTTGCCTTAAATTGCATTTGGTTTTGCTTCTAAAATTGTAAGTCAGCTCGGCTGCAGTGAGAATATAGCAAATCTGCCTTCCCAGTGTTTCTTTTAACAAGGAGTATAATTCCTCTCAATACTTTTTGTGTGAGTGAGTTTCTGGTTTTCAGTGAGATTATTTTTGGCTTTTGCAAGAATATGGGCAAGCCAAACAAATGCAGCTTAACAGTAATGAAAGGTTTTTAAGTTACTCTTCAGTAGTGACTTCATCTTGTAAGGCCCTGAACTTGAACTAACTCTGATGGGTTTTGGGGAGTAATCTCTTCCAGGTAGATGAAAAGTCTGTCTTGGAAGTAAATGAAAAAACAGAGAAGTTTGGAAACAACATGTTGTGTTTCGTTAAGTACAAATAAGGTAGATAGTATTTAAGTGTAGCTTTTTTTTTTTAAGCTTATCCCATGCTGTAAGGAGTAAGGAATCCAGCAAAGGTTTTCTTCTGAAAAACGTTCTGGGTTTTGCACGTTGCATGCTTAAAAGGAAATTTTATGTTGTTCTTGCTCTGGTTCTTGGATGCAGAATGGAAGTGGAATTTGCGAGGTTTGGATTCCATTTTTGACTCTGTCCTTTGCCTAAAAAGTCGCGTACTAGGCTTATCATCAGGTCTCTGGCTCATTGTCCCATATTTAAAAGAGGGCTAAGGGTAACGACCTCGTTTTTATAAACTGGTTTGAGATGTGTGGTGCACAGCTTCCACCCCTGACACCAGCAGTGGCTCGTTAGTCATCTGCTGTAGTGCTTTACCAAGATGAAAGCCCAAGAGTCTTGCTGGCACTCTTTCTCTGGCCCCTTGAATCTTGGGCTTTTTGGCCATGCAGGGGCCCTGCTTCACCTCGAGAGCTGGAAGATTCTCCCCTTAGACTGTTCAGTGGCCTTCTGGAAGGGTGACCTTGGGAAGCAAGAGGAGAGATGGGCTTGAACCCTGCCATCCTGAAGAGGCTTGACGCCGTGTTCCCGGTTCTACTAGAGCAGCTGCAGAAGATGGTTTCTTCTTCATCCCCTCCAGCAGATGTGCTTTTTTCTGGAAGAGGGTGGTTGCGACTCCTGCAGGTTGTGCCAGCCCCTCTCCTTTTCTTTCAAGCCAGCTCTCGTGAGGTGCTGTGAACTTGCTAGATTCTCCCACACAGCCATCCAGTCACTTGGATTTGTTTTCCATTTTTCTGTTTTGGGTGGGGTTTTTTTTTGCGGGGAGAATTTAGTGCAGATTTGTTGTCTGTGAGCTCTGAAGGAGGTCTGTAAGCACTTTGCAAGTTGCACTGTGTATCCTAAAGCCACTCGTGAGGCAGAGGAGGGCTTAGGAGTTGGTAGGGCTCCACAAAGATGACAAGTTTTCAAAAGGAAACAAGTGTCTGGTTTTGGTCTTCCTTGTGTCTTTAGAAAATAATATCCCACTCCTAGTGTGATTTTTTGTGTGTGTGTTTGTTCTTCAACACACAAAACCCAAGAGCCTTGCTCCACTGATAGAAGTTGTACTTGAGAAAAGGGATGGTCCTCGGTTGAAAAGCAGCTAGAGGCAGTAGCACAGCCTCACTCTCGTTCCAGGAAACTTAAAACATTTACCAAAAATCTTACCATAATGCCTTGAAAGCCTGCTGGTGCAGTTCAGTCAATAGTTAGGGCTGGTGTTTGTTCTTACGTACGCTCAAGCAGACCAAGGTTGCTCCTGAGCTATCATTTTGTGTCCTTTCAGAGTGGAGCCGAGGGAAAGTTGTTTTTCTGTTTGTTTGAGAACTCACACAAAACAATTCAAAATATCTGCACCCTGACCTCTGATGGGATTGAGACAAGAACTGAAATTGCACTGCTTCTAACTGCAGAAAAAATACTGAGTTTTAGAGTAGTCTTCGCATTACAGATTGACTGCTTGGGTTGCTCTGTGTATCTAGAAAGGGTAATTACAGTAACTGTTGTTTTGACCAATCACGATTTCGCAACACCCTTAAATGGTTTAAACTCAGATTATACCGTGGGTTTTTTGTTGTTGTTTTGGGGTTTTTGGGTATTTTTTTTCCCCTTAGGGGAGAAAAGATGATTAATTTCCCCTTGTAGTATAATGACACTGATGTCATGTGGGTTGAAGGATTAAGTCCTTTTATTTTTAAAACAGTTGCTAGGGTGTTTAAACCCCTCCTTTTTAGCCCCGTTTCTTGTTAGTATAACAGTAAAAGGAAAAGAAAACCACTTTCAAAATGAATTTACTTTTCTTCAAAGTTTCCATTTAACACTATCTGTAGCTTCTTATTTTTCCAATTTGTGGTGATGGGGAAATTGCCAGATATTATGAAATCATATTAACTAGTAATAAGGGGGAGGGGGGGAGCAACCAAACATTCATTGTTACTTTTTTCCCCTCAGAAGTGTGATTGAAATCATACCGTTGCAATATATTATTGATGGAGCAGTAATCTCTGGCACGCAAACTATGTTCACATCTGTCAGACAAAAAACTCAAACCCACTGCTTTTCATGACAAATACTGCTAAATAAGTAAGGCTACATCATTAGATCAAATATTTGATTTTTTTTTTAATTCTTTTTTCTTTGCAGAGTATTGGAAAGGGGTCCTTGTGGTGTATAGACCCAGAATATAGACAAAATCTTATTCAGGCTTTGAAAAAGACACCCTATCACCCATATTCGCATGTGTTCAATACACCTCCCACATCTCCTCAGGCATATCAAAGGTAAGAACTAGATGCATTTTACAACTCTAAATGTTTTCATCCAGTGTTGCGTGTGTGCCTTGGGTAAGACATGATATGTAATTAAGCAATGCAGATTGCCAGTGCGCTAGCGAAGGCGGCCCAGGAGCGCTGGTGGCAGCCTGGCCTTGCTCGGCGTGCAGCCGGGACACCTTACCTGCCCGTCCCCCTGCCTGGTGGCAGCCAGTCCCCAAGCTGAGCTTGCAGTCCTCCCGTGAGCCACGGAGCCTTTTGGCAAAAGCACACCTGAAATGAAGATGCGTATGAGCAAATAGAGAGCTCTGACGTGTCCGCTTATCCCCTTTGCCGTGGGCGAAAGCACAGTACCCTCGCTCGGAGGAGATGGGCTGGGATTTTTCCCCCAAGCGAGCTACGGGGCCTGTGCTGCCTGTGCAGCCGTCAGGTTTCCACGCCAGCCCTGCACGCTGGTGACCGAAACAGCCTTTGTCTTAGTTACGCGAGAGCCATTTTTCTGCCTTGCTTCAGTGAATATTCGTGGGGTGGGGTTTTCTTTTTTCATTTGTTTTGCGGTTTTTTTGAGCTGGCCATTGCTTATGACTAATGTTAGCGAAGGAAGAGCGATCATCTACGGCCGCTGTCCGCCGAGGGGGGAAGCAAACGCCGGGCTTTGACACAACCGCTTTCGCCCCACTGCTGTTTTCTTCCCTTTTTCCAAACGCGGGCAGCGTGTCCGGGTGGGCAGAAATGCCGGTCGTGGCCAGCGCTGCGCTGCGCCCCGCGGGCCGAAAGGTGGCTTTAACCGGCCGTAGCAGGGGCCAGCAGCGTCACCGGCACTAAGAAGTGACGGCGATGGCTCTCGTGGGGTTTGGGGTTTTTTTGGCTTAATTCCCTTATTTTGGCTTAATTTCCGGAGCCTTTTCAGCGTTAGTGTCGAG